CTCTGAAAAGCCACTAACTGTCTGACCTTTGTTTCAGTGAACTTGGAGACCCACACAGACACCTCCGAAATAGCTAGCATGGGGGGTTGGGCATGGCCAGATGCCAGGTCCCTGTGCTGGGGTCCCTGCTATGGGTGAGGGATTGAAGGCGGGGATCCCCGCTTGAGCCGCCAGCTTGAGCAGCCAGGGGGGTGGGAGGAGGGCAGGAGGAAACCTGGCAGCTGCTGCAGTCCCTCAGCTGGCTGGAGCAGTGATAGTGCTCTGGCTAGGAAGGAGAGGCGTGGGGCCAACCCTGCTCTGTTCCAGCAGACAGCCCAGCATAACTCAGGGCTGCAAGGCATCTGGGATGCTGGGGGACTCTAATTTAACTTAAACCAGGAAGGGGTCTGGGACAGACATTGCATAAACCAGTTTGACCCAAATCAGTTAAGTATGATAGTACATTCAACTGGATTTATCTTAAACCAGTTTCACCTATTTTGAAACTGGTTTATATGCATTGAATTTCTGTTCTGTTGCAGGTTTAAATCAGTTTCTGATCACGTACCCTGGTTTATGTGTAACTTCTGTCCCTAGCCACACACTACATGTGCTTCAGTATTAGGGCACAGTAGATTAACTCTGCCATAAGATGGTACTATTGGGGACGGTACCATCTTATGGCAGAGTGCTCACATGCAATCAAACACACATGTAGACTATGACAGGTGCTGGCTGGGACACAAGGGTGCTAAAGTGTGGGGGCTGCCTGCCGGCTTATGCCCCTGTCAACCCCTCTGCTGCCCAATGCTGCCAACTGGATTCTGGGGCTGTCTCCAGACCACTTGCCAGCTCAGGGCTCCTCCAACCCAGCCCAACATACTGTGATCCCAGAAACATCTGTAAATGCTGTGCCTGGGAGCAGCTGACTCCAGCACAAATTATGCTGGAGTTTATTTCATCACATTAATTGCTCATGTAGGTGTACTCAGGAAGTATTGGGCATCTGTACATGTGCTCCAGGAGCTGGGGTGCTTTAATTAGAGCAGCTCTGAGAGCCACTTTAATTAAAGTGCTCAGCTCATCATGTGTATCAGCATCCCTGGGCTGAGAAATGGTGGTGGGGGTGCTTTAACTAAAGTTCATTGAATGGGCTTTAGTTAAAGCACCCCTGCCACCATTTTTCAGCCCAGGGACACTGATACACATGACTCAGGAGGCTGCTGGAGCACAGTAACTATCACGTTCCAGCAGACTTGATTAATCGAGTCTGCTCTGATGTGCTGTAATCATAGCACTTTGGAGAAGCCTCACTGCATGTGTATAGGCACCCATTATGTTGTGTGACTTCAGTGGGCAGTGCCCTCTCAGATAGAGCCCATGTCTGTAGCAAATGGCTAGGGAGTCAACAGTACATTTGATGCTCAAGTGATCGATGCAAGCCTCAAGGACATCTGAAATATTTGGCAGAGCCGGCCAGCAGGACACAAGTACTCAAGACATTTTTACTTGGATCTGTGAAACCAGTCTTGATTCTTCCAAATGCAATCTATTCCTGAGTACCACAATAATGCTGCTGTTCATTGGGCCTGTTAAGTGGTTTTAGTGAAAGAAAGTTTATTCTTTGTAATACATTAAATTTTTGTCTTCTATTACATTAGAAAGGAAAAAATAAGAAGACATTAATAGCCTGACTTGACGTTAAGTCTTTTATTGCAAAAGCAGAGCCTGGTTCCATGTTCACTTCAGCTCTCTCCATTGTTTTATGTTGGATTGCATTTATGAGTTTATCTTTGCAAGGGAGGGCCTAGAAATTTAACTTTGTGTTTTATAGATAATGTTGGCTACAAAGGACCAACTCACAGAATCATAATAAATTCTAGTTTATGAATTTAGGATGTGAAGTTACAAATAAAATCATAAATGCAAGCTTTGAGTTATTGGTGGTACTGTTCACCTTAGCACACACACACCTGCACTCACTCATTCAAACCCATGTCATTCAAACCCACGTAGTATAGTGTATAGTAGTTGCTGTAGTGATTGTGAGAGCCCTGGTGTCAGTATATCTACCTATCTGAGGCCCTGGAATCTGCTGTGGATGGTTAGCTTCCTTCGAGGTGATGTCATCTCCAGAAGGGGGTTGCCTGCTTGTCCTTCTGTCTCAGTAAGTCAGGTGCTGGATGAGAGGGCACCACTGAGGGTCATGCTTCACTGTCTTTTATCCCTTTCCGGCAGACTTGTGTGATCCCCCCAGCATACTCTTGGCTACCCAGTCCAGAGGTTGCTGTCCCATGTGGGTCTTGACTAGTACCTGACAGCTGTTAGTCACAGGGGTCTGGCCTGCTGGTAGTGCAGTTTCAGGAGTCATTTTGTGATTTTGATTAATTAACAATGGTATTGTTAAGGGTAGCAGGAATAGTCAATAGGGTAGGTTTTCAGTTCCAGGAATCAGTTCTTTAGCGTGATTAGCTTAAAATGGAGTTCCTTTCGCTAGGCTATTGTCACTTAGTTACCTACTGATGATCATCCTTCACTCGCATTCACTCAAGGGACTGCCCAACATAATAGATTTTATCATTTTACAATTACAGTTTCAATACAGTTTTAACAATGGTACAGGGTGTAACTTCATGCTATAAGGGAGTACATTCTTTAAGAGTTTAGAAGTATAAAATATAAAATACAAAATGCCACGGTAAAGATGAGACAGATGAAATATAAAAATGCACTGGGAGAAATATATAAAAATGCAATTTAAGTTAGTGAGGATCCAAGGCTACAGGAGACAGTAAGTGAGTTAGCACCAGGATATATTTACAATCTTTGCAGTGGATATTTTAGTTCTTTTGTTTTCTTTAGTGACACTGAGCTTAATTGAGATGTAGATGTAGTTTCTAGGTTTTTCCTACAGAAAGCCACTTCAGCTTTCTGGCTTGCTCTGAGCCTTGCCACACCCATGCAACGAGTGGGCTAGGTCCCTGCCAATACTTAGAAGAATAAGAAATGTACAAAATGGGGGGGTGGGGGGGGTGGGAAGGGGTGATTCTGTTATATCCATGTGCAGAAGGGAAATGTACAAAGGGGCTTTCTACTACTGCTACATTATGACTACCTTTGTGGGACGAAAAGACTGTTCAGGTAAGTGGTTCTGGTAAACAGGAGCTCGACTAAACTGCTACAAGCCTCCTTTGTCTTGTTAATGGAGCTAGACTTTCCAACTAGTGCTATTGTTATGATCTATCTTATCCTGGCATTACAAATAACTTGCCTTTTTATCTATGTTTCATTTCCAGCGTAAAATATATTTCTGAGATAAATGACTGCATTACTGTAATATCTGTAGGCACAAACAATTTTACAAAGTAAATCTCTCGTTTCTTATTTAGAAAAACTCTCAAAAGAATCAGCATGATGGCTATGGTGTATATGGGGCTGATGATTGTCCCTTGGTACAGGAACTTGCTCCTTTCACCTCTGAATAAAAGTGCTTGAGAGCATAATGCAAACAATCTTTGGTCTTTGCTGAACAATGCAGTCCAGTATAGAGGTATCTAAGCCAGGACAAAATTTCCTGAAGAGAGTAGAAAGTCTCTGGTTGACTTCAATAGGATTAGGGAGCACTGAAACCATGGGCTTGGTCTTACTGCTATATCCTGCTATTTTGAATTGCTGGCTGGATAAACAAATTTATTCTGCTGTGTGTGTTGAGGGTGGGGGAGAGGGAGGAGAAGGAGAGAGAGAGAGCGCAGCTTATGCAGTAGTTTGATGTTCTGATGTCAACATACATACATATATACATGTACCTATGTAACATTGACTACAAAAGCACTATACTAAATAGATTGTTAGTAAAGATGAACTTGGGAAACCAGCCCCTGTACTGTATAGCTTATATTATCCACAAGATCTAATTGTAGTTTCATACTATATATATCATAACTAAAATGAAATGCACATTTCACAGTATCTGCATACTATACTGTACACTCTCTACATTTACTGACTTACCTCTTGGCATTTCTCAAAGCCACCCTATTTTATTATCGTCTCCCTTGTTAGTGATCGAGTACTATTCAAAATGCTAAAGAAATGCACTAACACAGCAATCCAGTTCTCTCATAATATACAGTAATCAAGTACAGTGTTTTAACAATGCAATTTAATGTATTTATAAACAACATTAAAGAGAACACACACACACATATATTAGAATCACAATTTTCCACAAAATTGTTTATAAATTGAAAGCTGGTGCTTTACTCAGAATTTTTTATTTTATTTTGTCAAATAATGAACAAACAGTGGGGACTGTTAGCTGGATAGGCATCTTAAGGCTGGATAGGCATCTGGTGGGGGTCATCTAACCCCAGCACTCTTCCCTGCCTATGCAAGGGGTCGGACTCGATCTTTTCCTGCCTAGGCAGGGAGTTGGGCTTGATCTGTTGAGGTCCCTTCCAACCCTAGCATCTATGAATCTATGACTTGTCATGTGGGGACTTGTCATATGGGTGTTTAACACCTTCTCTCTCTGGTTCAGGCTCTCCAGATGAGCAAAATTGTCCATGATGCAATACAACAATTAGCTTTTCATGAGGTACTGTAGCTTTTCTCCTTTTGCTGAGACCATGGTGCTTTGTGGAATATCTACTTAAACAGGAATCCTGGCTATCTACAGGAATTATAACATTAAGTACCCATAAGGCACGGTGGTATTTCCAAATCATAATTCTTGCATTATGACTGATATTTGGATGGGGAAGGGTTGGTTGATTGGTCTCATGTTTTTCAGTGTTTGATCCAAATTGAAATTCAGAAATTAATTTGAAATTTTATGAGGTGCAGGAGGAGGATGGGCATGCATTCCCGATCAGGTATAATATCAATGTAAGACTATACTATCTTTATTTGTCATGCAAATACATCCAGAATACCACTTCTTCTGTTTTGTTTACTTTAGCATATAGAAACATTAACTAGAAGAAAATCTTTTCCAAGTCCTCAGTCTTTTTCTTTAATGTATCAGTGAATCATTCCTGTCAGTCTGAAGCTTAAGTTTTTGATAGATATCTGATCCAAGAAACCTGGGATATGAGTCCCTTTCCATATGCATGTAAACAATTTTCTGAGCTTCATCAAAACAGGACTGAGTTGGTTTTTGAATATTCCTGGTAATGGCTTCCCTTGCAGGACTGTCAATATTAATCTGAAAAATAAAACAGTGGTACATAAAGTTGCAATAAGCATGTGGAAGACAGAGAGAAAGCACTACAGAAATGAAGATGAGTAGATTTATACCAATTCAATCAGCTTTGACACCATATAACATGTTGGTGCTATGGCAGTAAGACTATCTTAAAAAAAATAATAACAATAACTTTCCCTGAGTCTTTAATTGTTTATTATCAGTTTTGACAGCTACCCTGACCCTTTAAGGATTCCAAGACCTGGAGCTAGCCAGCCTTGTTCAATTACTCATCTGCTACACATGTGTTTGGTGTTGGACTAAAGTGGGATGAAGAGCAGCTGCTAAGGGGTGATTGGGAAGGAGGATTGATAGTTTGCTCTTATGTGAAGCAAGAAGCCTGGAAACTAAGTGCTCTCTGCAAAGTGCAGTCTGTCAGAAGTCCTCTGTTGAAAGGCCATGGAGTAGGTGACTCTGTTACTTATTTCAGGATGGGCGACAACAGAAATGTCCAAGCTGGAGGGCCAGTTATGTCAAAGACCACAGGAGTCCTCCAGAAGTGAGACTGATAGGCTGACTTGTCCAGAAGTGGGCATTTTGAAAAGGTACATTAGGTACGCATATAAAAATCCTAAAATGATATTTAGGTACCTAAATAGGTAGCTTGATATTCCAAAGTCCTGATCAACTACAATTAATCTATACTTTGGAATAATAGGCTACTGAAGTTGTTATAGTATGAAGTTGTTATAGATATGATCTGACAGAGCTAATACATTATTCCTAACTAGCCAATCTGTGTAGACACCTATTGTAATCCAAGATTTGCAGTGGAAGGTTTTGTGGATGTATCAGATTAGGAAATGCTGGTAACATTTAGACTTCTGACCTCTAACAAAATAATGCATTCAATCAGATGGAGTGGCATTGCTTTGCTATTTTCTAAGACAGGTTTGCCCTTTCAGAGAATGAAAGGGGACCTGCAGACATGTGGATAATGACTGTTCTATTTACTGTGTTAAGATCTTGCAGGGATTGTAGTGTTTTAACTGCAATCTACAGTTTCCTGAATACCCCTGAGTTTTTCTAGAGCAAGAGCTATGTTGAGATCATTATCAAGTCTTGTGTAGAAAATTAAACCCAAACTAGTAGCCTTTTATATTTGCTAAGAAATGCTTGAAAATGTAAAGTAAGTGTCTTAGTAGATCAGAAATCATAAAGAAAATAGAAAGAATCAAACTTCTATTATTTTATTGTACAAAATTGAGATTTAAAAAAAGCCTCATCTCTTACAGCTTGATTTATGATTATGACTGTTAATTCTATCTTTCCTTCCATTTGGGAAAAGTAAAATGGAGTTAATTACTTGAGTATATTGCATTTTCTGTATATACACAAGCAAAATAGGATTAAAAAAAATCACATTTTTAAATCCAATCCAATTTACTTTTTACCTTTTTTTTCACATGAATTTCAGTTTGCAGAGCTAGCCATCCTATTATGTCTTTTAATCTAGAAGCTTTAAACTGAGTCAGTCCCTTTAACCTCAGTCAGACATCAGGGATCAAGCAGTGTCCTTTTTGGCTCACACCTCTGGCAATATAGGTTGTTTGGAACCTGGATAACAATGCATTTGATGAATTAGGCAGAAAATAATTTAGTTTTAATTTCTCAGAGCTGTATTGTCCCTTCAGTGCCAGCTGGGATAGAAGGTGCATTATTGCTATTTATTATTGACAATAAACTAAACAGGCATACTTGTAAAGATACTAAAAATTACCTGTTGAGGAGGAAAGTGCTATTATAATATATTGCCATTTGTTCGAAAAAAACCTGCACAAGCTTGTTCAAATGTGTTTGCAGGAAATCATTAATAGTTATAGCTATTGGTAAATCGTTATAGATATAGGTACATAGTAAATCATAATAGATATAGGTAAATCATTTGGGATGGATTCTTCTTCAAACTCTTTCAGTACCTTTGGGGACTTGATTGGCTTTTAGCTAGCACTGGTCAGTTTTCCAAACAAATGTAAATACACAGAGATTTTACCTCATTTTCAGGTACATAAGCAAAGACTAATGAGTAGGTGCAGTAAGGACCTTATCTAAAGTCCAGTAAAGTGAATGGAAAGACTCATATTATGGGCATTGTATTGGGTCTGAAAACAAAGAGAGTAGAGAACCAGAAACTTGGTTCAGTTAATTTCTGACATTTATTCCTTCTGTGGTATTTGGTTAAATGAGTTGTCTGTATACCTCAGTTACTTGGTCTGTGAAATGAGGATAATGATTTGTTTCAGTACTTCAGCAATTCAGAAATCAAGTTTTGCATATGGCTTTGTATAGGGAGTGCCAGTGCTGAGGATGGGTTGTTACGTTTCACATTCACGCATGTTCCTGTCCTGCGTACAGGACTTCCACCTGACGCAGGAGGTACACGGTCCTACTAGGGGGAATGCCTTACTGGACCTGGTATTGGCAACGGGGGATGATATGGTAGGGGACCTACAGATTGGTAGTCACCTGGGGGACAGTGATCACCAAATAACAGAATTCACCATAAGACGTTGAGTGGGAAAGGTAACTAGTAGGGTGAAAGCGCTAGACTTTAGGAAAGCTGATTTCAATGAACTCAGGCGATTAGTAAAGGACGCACTGCAGAGTAGGAGTTTTGAAAAGATGGGAGCCCAGGAAGGGTGGCTGTGCTTTAAGGAAATGATCCTTCGGGCACAGAGGGAAACGAACCCGATGTGAGGAAAAAGAGAGAAAGGGGCCAGGAGTCTTCCTTGGCTGACCAGAGAAATCCAGGGCAGCCTGTGGACTAAAAGGGGAGCATATAAAAAGTGGAAACGGGGAGAGATTACCAAAGAGGAGTATACCTCCTCTGCTCGCACTTGTAGGGAGGCAGTTAGACGGGCCAAAGCTACCATGGAGCTGAGGATGGCATTCCAAGTAAAGGATAACAAAAAATTGTTCTTTAGATATATAGGGAGTAAAAGGAAGGCCCAGGGTGAAATAGGACCCCTACTAAATGGGCAGAAGCAATTGGTGACGGACAGGGGGGAAAAGGCTGAACTCCTCAACGAGTTCTTTGCCTCAGTGTTCCTAAGCGAGGGGCAGGACAAGGCTCTCGCTCGGATTGTAGAGAGGCAGCAGCAAGGTGCCAGACTACCATGCGTAGACCCTGAGATGGTGCAGAGGCACTTGGAGGAA